ATAGCTGAGAGGTGACAGAACTTGTATTCCAACACAGATCCAACTGCAAAGCTTGTTGCTCAACTTCTCTATCAAATTGGCTCCCATTTTTTAGGAGAAAAATGAAGCAAATAAAGTATAAATTACCTTTTAGGGTTAAATTAACTATGATTCCTTACAATCTCAGAGATAACCTCTAGAAAACAGAAATGTTTGCTTTTTATCCTTTTTCTTTTCTCTCAGCCAGGACTGGAGGCATGGCTAAAGTGGTAGAACACTTGCCTAGTAAGTGCATGACCCTGAGTTCAAAACTTCAGCATTAAATATGTTTTCCCGGGCTGGGAAGGTGGCTCAGTGGTAGAGCGCTTGCCTTGCATGCATGAGGCCCTGGGTTTGATTCCTCAGCACCACATAAGCAAAAAAGAAAAAAGCTGGAAGTGGCGCTGTGGCTCAAGAGTGGTGGAGCACTAGCCTTGAGCTGAAGAGCTGAGGGACAGCACCCAGGCCTAGAGCTCAGGCTCCATGACCAGACCCCCCCATCCCCCAAAAAAATGTTTTCCCCAGCTGGGAAGGTGGCTCAGTGGTAGAGTGCTTGCCTTACATGCATGAGGCCCTGGGTTTGATTCCTCAGCACCATATAAGCAGAAAAAAGCTGGAAGTGGTGCTGTGGATCAAGTGGTAGGGCGCTAGCCTTGAGCTGAAGAGCTGAGGGACAGCGCCCAGGGCCAGAGTTCAGCCTTCACAACTGACAATATATAGATTCCCCCTTTAACCCCTAGTGGCTGGGGGGAAGGGAAGACTGGGATTAAGCCAAAAGCTAGAAGAATAAACAGCTAGAAAATACAACATAACAAAAAAGAGTTAATATTTTCCTTCTCAAAGAGTTCAGAATAAAGGACAAATTAAAAGTAAATTAAGGTTCGGGGCTGGGAAGATGGCTCAGTGGTAGAGCGCTTGCCTTGCATGCCTGAGGCCCTGGGTTCGATCCCTCAGCACCACATAAGCAAAAAGAAAAAAGCCGGAAGTGGCGCTGTGGCTCAAGTGGTAGAGCGCTAGCCTTGAGCTGAAGAGCTGAGGGACAGCGCCCAGGCCCAGAGTTCAGGCCCCATGACCGGACCCAAAAAAAAAAAAAAAAGTAAATTAAGGTTCAAAAGGAAAGGATCACAAGGGCTCAATACTTATGTGCATATGATCATATAAAATATTTATTGAGGGCTGGGAATGTGGCTTAGTAGTATAGTGAAGTGCTTGCCTAGCTTGCATGAAGCCCTGGGTTCAATTCCTCAGTATCACATAAATAGAAAAAGCCAGAAGTAGTGCTATGGCTCAAGTGGTAGAGTTCTAGCCTTGAGCAAAAGAACCTCAGGGACAGTGCCCAGGCCCTGAGTTGAAGCCCCAGTACTGACAAAAAAAAATGTTTATTGAAATGAACTCCAAGAAATAGAAACAAGAGGTATTTTTGTTATTTTGTTTTTTATTTTTGTTTTTCTCCTTTGTCACTGTTTCTGTTTTCTATACCTTTTGTCTTTTATGTAAGTTTATTTGTATTAGGGAGGGTAAGGGAAAGCACACAAATGGTGGGACAAAAGGTGAAAAAAATGCAGCAGTGGTACTCCCTAGACATTATGCTGAAAATAAACTATACAACCTGGAGGGTTGTTAGGAGGGAAACCTGGGAGTGAATGAGGGAAGAGGTGGCATTGTTCACAAAGAAATGTACTCATTACCTGACTTATATAACTGTAAGCCTCTGTACATCACCTCTACAATAACACTAAAAAAGGCAATATAGTCATAGTTCCAGAATTAAAACAACACTAAAAATTCACAGAACAGTCTCATCATTATCTTTTCCTCCATCCACCTCATTCTTCTTTCCCATTCAAGGTAATAACTAGTTAGTTTCATGCATGTTTTTCTAGAACTGCTTTATATAAAATACAATTATCAATGTGTTTATCATTTGTTTCTTAAATACATTAGACATATCAATTTATACCATGTTTTCCTAATTAACAATATGCAATAAATTAACATCAAAATAGCATAAAGGTCCTTTAGGGAGAAGAATTAATTAATTAATTGCCACAGTCAATTCAGCACCGGGACACTGTCTCTGAGCTCATTTGCTCAAGGTTGGTGCTATGCCACTTGAGCCATCTCTCCAACTCTGGCTTTTTTAAATGGATAATTGGAGATAAAAAGTTTCACAGACTGGCTTTAGACCACGATTCTTAGATCTCAGCCTCCTGAGAAGCTAGAATTATAGTTGTGAGCCACTGGCACTTAGCTTTATTTTTATAATTTTTTGGGGAGTACTGGGGGTTGAACTCAGGGCATTGTACTTGTTAGGGTGGTGATCTACCACTTGAGCAATGCCCCCAACCTCAGAATGGCATTGGACAATGACACAAATCTATACTGACAAATAGCAACTGCTTACTTAAATACAAAACATCAAACTATTGAAAAAGGCAATTTCTTTCATTTTCATTTTATTTTAAGAATATTTTAATTATCTTTAAGTAGTTGTACAAAGGAGTTGCCATTCACCAAAGCAGCTTATGAAGACAGTGCATCTTGATCAAATATCACCCCTTTTCAACATTCTCGCCCACCCCTTCCTTTGCTTATCTTAATTGTAGGTTTTATGTATTGAATTTTTTTAATAAAGCAATTTATATATATAAAATACATCTTGATTCGTGTCTCCATTTCAACATATTTACCCCCCTACCCCTTCCCTTATATTTCTCAATTCTGTAGTTTATATAATGCATTCTTGCCTGTGTTCCCCGCCCCCCCCCTTCCCTTTGACCTCCCTCTCTTATTGCAAGTACCCATTTTCTGGTACTTAATTTGTTGGGCTTTGACTTTGTTGTTACTTTCTGGTAACCCATTATCATCATTTCAGCTACTCAAGCCTTCAGCTAATAATCATTTACAAGTTATTGAGTATTCTGTAATACTTTCCTCTTTTCTACATTTATTCAAGTAGCAAACAGTAAAATAACTTTTTAAAAATATTTTTATTGTAAAGATATTGTACAGAGGGGTTACAGTTACATGAGTAAGGCAATGAGTCCATTTCCTATCAGCATTGTTACCCCCTCCTTTGTTTTTCCCCTATTATCCCTTCCCACCCCACCTCCCTAACACCTCCCTCCCCCCCAAATTGTAAAGTTCATTTTCAACATAGTGTCTTGTACATCTCACTGTTACAATGGGTCAACCTGCATCCTTGTTTCAGCATTTTGTTATTTCCCTTCCCCTCCCCAAATTATAAAAATGTATATACAAGATGCAGGGGCACAGAAATCAAATACAGTGACAACAGGGGTTATACCATGGGGGAAGAACATACAAAAGAAACAAAAAAATCACATAGTACATTAAAAACAGCAGCAACAAAGAAAAAAAATCTCTTGTGTCCCTACCTTGGGGTTCATTTCGCTTAGCATCATTTTATATGGTCATACCTACATAGCTTTTAACCTTTTCTGCTTGTCTGGTAAGATTAGCCTAGACATATACTAGTTAATGCAAATAAGGGAAACCATGTGACCTATATTTCTTTGGGTCTGGCTTACTTCACTTAATATGATTTTTTCCAAGTCTTTCCATTTCCTAACAAATAGGGTGGTGTTCTGATGGAAGCATAGAATTCCACTGTATATAAAAACAGTAAAATGGAAGTGGAGCTGTGGCTCAACCGGTAGAGCGTGCGCCTTGAGCTGAAGAGCTGAGGGATAGTGCCCAAGCCCAGAGTTCAAGCCCCATGACCAAAACAACAACAACAACAACAACAACAACAACAACAACAACAACAACAACCAGTAAAATAACTTTTTGTCTTAGGCACAGCCTTCTCCATTGGAACTTAAAAGCATTGTTAAGAGAAGTTCCCAAATGTAGTTTTTCAAATTGTATATATTTAAGGTATAAATATGATAGATTTTGTTTGTTTTTTGTTTTGTTGAGACAGGATTTATGTAGTCTCAGGGTTTATGTAGTCTCAGGGTTTATGCAGCCTCAGTTGGCCTCATATTCACTAGGTACCCCAGCCTGGCATGGAACAAATGATCCTCCTCTGGGATTACAGACATACCCCACCATGACATGCTCAATATGATGTTTTGATACATATATACATGGTGAAATGATCACAGCTGTTAAATTAACATGTCAATCCTGACAAGGATTTTCTTTTGTGCTATGGAGACTTGAAATCTATTCACTCAGCAAAATATCAGTATATAATGCAATATTATGTATTAGGTATAATCATCTTGTTTTACATTAGGTCTCCAGTTTTATCATATTGAATCCCGAAAGTCTGAATTCTGAACCTCAATGCTAGAATATACTAAAATGTAGGAAACAGAAAGGTAATGATTTATTGCCATGAGTCCAAGTTTAAAAACTCAAAATTATATGCATCATCCCACAGATACTGGTGGTTCACACCTGTATTCCTAGCTACTTAGGGAGCTAAGATCTGAGGATTGAGGTTTGAAGCCAACATGGGCAGAAAAGTCTGTAAGATTCTTATCTCCAATGAACCACCAAAAAAGCTGGAATTGGGGGTATGGCTCAAGTAGTAGAGCATTAGTCTTGTGCAAAAAAGCTAAGGAACAGCACCCAGGCCCTGGGTGCAAGCCCCAGCACTGGCACAAAATAACAGACTAATACAGTTAAAAATAACTTTGGCAATAAAAAATTGGAAATTATTTTTGATGTAAATAAAAATAATTATAGCTACCTGTTCTGGGGGGGGGGGGACAACTGCAAAAGCTGAAGAAGTAAATAAATAATTGTGAGTACTAATAAACAATAGATGGAATAACTGGACAGAGATTGGTCGTCATGGGGATAGCTTTCAGTTGCTAACACAAGTTCAGTTATGGAGGCCTCTTGTTCTTTGAATTCATTACCAATAAGTTAAAGCATTTGTCATAACACTGAATAAGCCATATAACAATGCATTAGAATTCAAAAGTTCAAAGCAAAGTTACACTTACCTTCCCTGTTAGAACTGAGGGAAATTCAGTATCAAACTTGTTGCTCAAGCCAAACCTTAAAAACAAAAGACAGAACAAAATATATTCTATCCAGTATATTTAACCCTCTTATTTTCTTTCTTAAAAAGCCACACATCCATGCATTTTTCTTTTGGGCTTTTGATTTAAAAATCTGTCCTGAATATATGCAACTGTTATGGTTTTTGTGCAGTTAAAAATTAAACTTAAAATTTAACATGCTATAGAAGTCCTAAAATAAAATAAAAATATACATTCTAAATTAAACTTTATATTAAAGGAAATAAATCTTTGACTATTAATCCATATTAACAGTAAAGAAGCTCAACAAAAGCAAATATTACAATAGGATTCTAACCATAATCATAACACAGGATTTAAAAATTAATGAGAAATACATTTTACAAGAGAGCCAAAAATGTGATAGTATTTGACTAAAATGTTTCTCTGTTAAAACCCACTTTAGTTGATAAATTTTTGGACGAGGTGATAGGGTGGTAATATGTGGGAATGCATCGTACTTTTTTTTTTTTTACTACTTTAAATATTCCTAATAAATGTCTCCCCTCCCCCATTAATCTAGCCTTTGGAGGTATAGAACTTGATAACTTTGTTCAGTTACTCTTCAGATATCCAAAGGTTGATCTTTATGAATGGCTTTCATGTACTCAACTTTTAGAAAAGAGATCCCAGTCTCTAAAAGACTTTCCCTTTCAGTACGCTCACTAAAATTTGTAGTAAGAAGCCTTTTCTCACCTCATTTCAACTTTAGCAGAGATAACACAGGTGATTTTCTGAATGTTAGATGATACCATATCATAGTTATTACAATTTTATTATAGTGGATGATAGCTTGTAAGCAGAAAGGAAGATACTAACATTTACTGAGAACTCCATGTGAGGAAGGCAATTAAATTACCGGCTACCAATAACTATGTACTTACCAAGCTAGACACTGTGCTAAGTAGTGTAGTTAGTACTACATTACTTCAAAATTTTAAAGGCCTTCAAGAGAAGTATTGTCATCCCCATTTTTCGGACAAGGAGGCTGACATTCAGAAAAAAAAATTTAAAAATAGATTAATTAAATGACTTGCCAAAGTCAGGTATATACTTCATTAATAAGTAGGGGTGATTACAATTCAAATGCTGACCCCTAAGTCCTTTCTTTCCTGTACTAAACTCTTTGAGAACAGAAATAAGTGTTGTTCTGCTATTTTCTATTATGTCTAGCTATATAGTGTAATCTAGTAGATGTTTAACAAAAGTTTGTGAAATAATAGTGATTGTACTGTTTGATTCACTTGATTTATGGCACTCTGATCACTTTAAAGAAATGGAGGAACCCAATGTCTGATTAAAACTCTGTGCGGATATTTTATATTCTCCTTGCTAATAGCTCAGTTTCAAGGAAACAAGCCAGTTTTTTTGGTGTGTGTGTGTGTGTGTGTGTGTGTGTGTGCTTCAAACTCTGATCCTCAGCTCTCAGCTTCCAGAGTAGCTAGGATTACAGGTGTAAGCCACTGGTGCCGAGCTAACAAGCCAGTCTTAAGTGCACAGATTCTCTATATTTAGTAGCTAATAGCAGGATATGGACTTATGTATAAATACAATGCATCTTGTACATTACAAATATATTTGAAGAAGTGGCACTGTGGCTCAAGCACTAGCCTTTAGAGAAAAAGCTAAGGGACAGTGCCCAGGCCCTGAGTTTAAGCTCCAAGACTGACAAAATAAAGCATTAAGATGGTAGGCATGGTTGCACACACTTATAGACCAAACACTTGGGAGGTTGAAGGCAAAAGAATCATGAGACCATTTGGGCTATAGAGTAAGATCCTATCTCAAAAAACAAACAGAAAAAAAACATGAAGAAAGAAAAGCAGGCCTGATACTCTCCCATACTTTTGACTAATAGTAGCTACTCAGTTCTTGCCATCAGGGATTTCTTTCTTAACTCTTCCTCTTTAAAGACTGAAAACATAAAAAGAGTACTTAAACTCCAATAAAATTAGGCTCTAGAGTTTCACTTATAGCTGCAAGGATAATGTAATAGTTCCCGCTGAATAAATATTTCAGCTCTGTTTTATAAACAAACCATTAAGTTACAAACTATAAATCCACAGAAGTTAGACAAGTTCATCAACTCAGTACTTATGAGTGGTAAGACATTAGCCAAGATGTGGGGCTCTTCCACATTAGACAAACAGGTACTTGGGAACTGATCCACTGTCATTTTATTGATTTCATGAAATATAAAATAAATTATGTCTTTGAGGTTGACCCAGCTGGTGGTTCTCAATAACTATATTTTCTTTGTTAAGTACCTCAAATGCCCTAATCTTTAATTTATTGGAACAACTGTTTGGAGAAAAAGAAATTGAAACAAAGAATGGGTTCTTTCAGTTTTGCACTCTCCCTCCTACATCTCTCACTTCCCATCTTTTTTTTTTTTTTTTTGCCAGTCCTGGGAATTGAACTCAGGGCCTGGGCACTGTCCCAGAGCTTCTTTTTGCTTAAAGCTAGCATTCTACCACTTGAGCCACAGTGCCACTTCCGGTTTTTTTTTTTTCTGTTTATATGATACTGAGGAATCAAACCCAGGGTTTCATGCATGCTAGGCAAGCACTCTACCATTCCCAGCCCCCACTTCCCATCTTTTGAAAATGGTTGTACATCAGCCTCTCAAACCGTGTACAAATTAAAGTTCATGTGCTCAGATGGTTTACAAAAACAGTGCAGTCAAATTCTGCCAATAAGAAACACAATTTTGCTAAAATAAACTGCACTTAATAGTAACAAGGATTCAAAGCACATGCACTGGACCTCTACTACACCAATGAAAAGGAAAAGCTGTGTCATACAGTATAAAGAGTTTTTTTTTTTAAAGATTCTATGAGGGAAGAGCAGGGAGAAATGTTGAAAGGGAGGAGTGTGAACGTTCAAAGGGTGACATTGAGGGCTGGGAAGGTGGCTCAGTGGTAGAGCGCTTGCCTTGCATGCATGAGGCCCTGAGTTCGATTCCTCAGCACCACATAAGCAAAAAAAAAAAAATAAGAAAAAAAAAAGGGTGACATTGACCAAGACACCAATTCATAAAGGGCTTTGTTGAATGGCAGCTCCTTTGCACAACTACTTAAAGATAATAAAAAAGAAAATGAAATAAAGTAAAATTTTAAATAAAAAGAAATACTGACAATAAAAAGATGTTAAATATCTTTAATCTTTCATGTGGAAATAATCATGTCTTACCACACTGTATAATACCAAATAGTCATAGATAGATTCAATATTCTTAAAGCCTGAAACTTTATAAAATAGTCACCTTGTTTTAACACAACTTAACAAATGATCAGTATAATTTCTTAAAGACAACCATTGTTTTATTTGAGAAGTATCAATATGTGAAGTGTTATTTTTTTCAGAAAGTGTACTGTTTAGCATATTTAGTCATCTTTTCAATTCTTTAATAACTTCAGCCTGTATGTTTGGTGTGTGTGTATATGTGTGTGTATTTGTGTGTGTGTGTGTGTGTGTGTGTGTGTGTGTGTGTGTGTACTAGTACTAGGGCTTGAATCCAGGGTCTTGAAGGCTGGTGCTCTACCACTTGAGCCATGCCTCCAGTTCCTATTTCAGCTTTTTTAAATTAATTTCAATGAGATAATTTTGAGTCTATGAGAATTGGTAATCCATCATCTCTACTGATACACAGATGCAATGCCAAGAATAAATATTCATGCATTTTAATACAAAAATATGTAAATGTCTATAAATAAGGGGGGGGGGGGAAATCTCTGTAATTCTTTTTTTTTTTTCCAGAGCTGAGGACCGAATTCAGGGCCTTGCACTCATCAGGCAAGCTCTCTTCCACTGACCTAAATCCCCAACCTTTTTTGTTGGTCATGGGGCCTGAACTTTGGGCCTGAGCGCTGTCCCTCAGCTCTTCAGCTCAAGACTAGTACTCTACCACTTGAGCCACAGCACCACTTCAGGTTTTCTGGTGGTTTATTGGAGTTTCACGGCTTTTCCTGCCAGGGCTGGATTTGAACCACAATCCTCAGATCTCAGCCTCCTGAGTAGCTAGGATTACAAGTGTGAGCCACCGGTGCCCAGCTCTGTAATTCTTTTTCTCTTTTCTTTGTTCTGTGCTGGTACTGGGGCTTGAACTCAGGGCCTCACATTCTTGCTTTGCTTTTTCTGCTCAATGCTAGTGCGCTACCACTTGAACCACAGGTTCACTTCTGGCTTTTTGTTGGTTAAGAGAAGATAAAAGTTTCTCAAATTTGTCTGCCTGGGCTAGCTTCAAACTGTGATCCTTAGCCTTCTGAATATCTAGGATTACAGGCACTTGGTAAGGTTTATTTTTTTCTGTATTTCTATGTATTGCATCCAAGTATTTATCCTAAAAACATCACAAAGAAAAGTGATACTTACATGTGCTATCACTTAGGAATATAGCATTTCTGAAACAGTAAATATTTCCAATATTTTTTTTTATCAATTTAGAATCTCAAACCTGTGGGAGTTAATTTTGCTATGTTTTTTTTTTTTTTAATTTGGGAAAAGATCACCAAATATTGATATATGAGTCTCATTTCAGAGTTGGAATTACAATTAATGTGATTAGGTCATTCTATTTTTAATGAGATTATAATTAATTGTGTGCCAAAAGATTAACATTTTGTTACAATAATTAGTGAAAATATTAAGATAATTGAAGTAAACAGGAATACTCTGACATATAGGGGCTAGCTTTGCAAAGCTTTCAGAAATAAGGCCATGCCATTAAACCCATCACCTGAATTGGTGTATTGTATCCATATAGATGTGCTATTGGAAAAAGTTCTCTCCACCACATGGTTCATGATTCAACTAACAAATATTTGTTGAGGGACTATAGTATAATAATTTGTACTATGATATTCATTCATTATGCCAGGCAGTGTGCTATGCTTGGAGGATTCAGAGGTAATAAGAAATTTTGCTCTTGCTATTTCAAGTTACAATTTAATGGGGGCAAAGAAGATTTATAAGAGGTGGTAACACAAGAGCTGGGGTAAGAAGGAGGTGAGTATTTGCATTTTAGATAGAACAGAGGCACAAAATAAGAAATATGCTATGAGTAGTAACACAAGCAGCAAGTTCAATGATAGGAGTTGATGCTAACATACAGGTTGGATACAGTTTTGTATGCCATGTTCCAGAGCTTACACTATATTCTGTAAGAGGTAATTACACAATAACCTTAAGAAGAAAAGTGGTTTGTTTAGACCTATACTTTTTTTTTTTTTTGGCGGTTGTGGGGCTTTGAACTCTGGGCCTGGGCGCTGTCCTTCAGCTCTTCAGTTCAAGGTTAATGCTCTACCACTTGATCCACAGAACCACTTCTGGTTTTCTTGTGGTTAATTGGAGAGTCTCATGGACTTTCCTGCCCAGGCTAACTTTGAACTGTGATCCTCAGATTGCAGCGTCCTGAGTAGCTAGGATTACAGGAGTGAACCACCAGCATACATCTATACTTTTTGTGTCTTAATCTAGCAGCAGGTTGAAGGATATTTGTCAAGTGACAAGGATGAAGCAAGAAAACTAGTTAGGGTGATGAAAAGGGTCAGAATCAGAGAAGTTGTAGTAGAGAGAAAAAGAAGCAAATTTTTGTCATTTCTTAGGAACTGCTGATTGTTTGGCTGTGGGAAATGTGAGAACTAAGGATAAGTAATGAGAAAAAAAAGGAGAACTAAGGATAAGTAATGACATAGCAAGAGAAGGAAAACAGAAAGAGAAGGCATTCTTGAGAGTTTGAGGGTGTGGAAGGATGAGATTTGTTTGAATACATTAAATTTAAGATGATAATGGGTTATTAAGCATAATAAGAGTCTAAGCAGAGTGGGGAGTTGAGATACATGTTTTAGGAGACATGGGATCCTTGAAACCCTGAGAAATAAAATGAGAAGTGTAGAGAATAAGAAAAGTAGAGGGTTGAGCATAAAATTCTGGAGATTACTGACTTTAACAGGTAAGAAAGGAAGAGGAGCCACGACTGAGATGGTTAAGGAACAAGAGGATGAAAAATACCAAGACAACCTGGAGAAAGAAGTGGCCAAGGAGTTTTCAGGTTTGTTTGGCTGGCAGAATGTTGTCTTTTAAATTAGAATTTGAAGACATTTAAAAAGTTTTATACCTTCCAATTTACTAAGACCTTATCACTACTTACACTTTTATCTTCTGTGACTTCCTAGGCTTCAGGCTTTTGTATTTAATGATCTCTATATAGAAGCCTCTAAAAAAGATGAAGTCATTGTAAGTGTCAAATGCAGCAGGGAGGATAGGAAGATAGGTAATGAAAGATGTACACTGATTAAGCAACTAACAAGAGCAATCATGGTGATCTTTCTTTGCTGTTGTTTTGAGACAGGATTTCATTATTTAGCCCAGGCTGTGTTTGGACTTGTAATCTTTTCTTTCAGCACTGGGGATTGAACCCAAGGTCGTGCATATATTGGTCAAGGGCTCTACCTCTGAGCTACACCCCTAGCCCATGATCATGGTGAGGCTGGCTCCTCTTTGGTTGAAGTAGCAGAATTCATATCAGAGGATATAAATATGGTATCTGTATCTATTCATAAGCACTGTTCAAAAGGAAATGTACTCATTACCTGACTTCCACAGCTGTAACCCCTCTGTACATCACCTTTACAATAAAAAATAAATTAATTTAAAAAGAAAGGTAGCTTAAAAAAGAAATCTGGAGGAAAAAGAAGAAAGATCCAGTAGCCAAAGGGAATATGGGTATTGGAAGGATTTTGTCTTTTTATTTTTAATCAGAAGGACTGAATATGATTACAGCAAAAGCTAGCAGAGTGGCACAGAAAAGTTATATTGAAGCCAAGAGCTATTTGATAGAGTAAGACCTAGAAGGAGGGTAGAGGAGAAGGGTATGGAAAGCACAAGAGAAAGGAAGAACTTCGGATAAGTGGAAGGAGTCCTTGAACTCTGAGGTTGGAAGAACTCAGATCTAATTAAGATCCAGTGCAGCTCTGCAGCAGGAAAGCCACATGATTGAACTGTGTTTTAAGAAAATTAGTTTGGCACAAGCATGCAGGATGGATTGAAGTGCAGGAGAGACAGAAGACTGTGACAATAATTCAAGAAAGAGATGATGGAAACCCAAACTAGAGTGGTGCCAAATAGGAATAGAGAAAATGAAAAATCTAGAAGACATTCCAAAGGTATGATGACAGTTCTGGGGAAGATCGGCACAGACTAGTTAAAGAAGGAAGAGTAGAAATGACTTAAAAGATTTTAAATATTAGACTGAGAGATTAGAACAGTGGTACCATAGTTAGAGACAGGGCAACTAGAAATGCAGTCAGTGTAGGAAAGAAAAAAAAGTTGGGTTTTAAGGTATACCAAGTTTGGATCAGTTTAAGCATATATCTCTCCTCAATTCCTTCTTCATGATGAAAAACTTCAAAATACTTCCTTCAAGTTTTTTTTGAAATATACAGTTGGAGGCGATGGCTCTCAAATTTTTAATTTTGAAAAGAAACAAAGCCTTCTGTAGAATGAAATCTGTACAGAGAATGAAAAAATCTGGGTGAAAAAGAACAGTGTTTCAGTCAGAAGTTAGGGCTGGGAATGTAGCTCAGTGGCAGAACACCTGCCTAGCTTGTATAATGCCTAGCACTACAACAGCCAAAAGCCAAAAACAAGGCCTATACTTTAAGGTAACTCAAATATTCTTATGCCAGAAAAGAAACAATCTTTACTTTAGATGTACCCGAATAGGATTAACTATTTTTATTTGCAGTGTTGGGTTTTGGACTCAGGGCCTTGTGCTAACTATGCAGGTGCTCTACCACTTGAACTATATTTCCAAGTTCAAGATTATTTTCTAAGAGTTTTACATTACTTGATATAAAGGTGTACTACCATAGCCTCTTTCTCACATCCAGTAAGGTTCTCCTAGATGTTCAATGTCCCCACCCCCATCAAAGATATCCTTAATATCAAATATGCTTTTAGGGTGAGATAAGGTGTATAATAAAACTAAATAACTTGCCCAACTGTATACATTGTGTGGTATACAGTAGTACTGGCCTGTGCTTTTCAGATTTTAGCTTCAGTTAATTAATTCCAAGTTACTACCCCTTCACACTCCAAACTGCAGAATTTTTAAGCTGGGAGAGACATCACAACTTTTACAATGGGCTGGACATGGCCAACTGTCAGTGCTCTGAATTAAATAATGAAAATAATGAAATAATACTTGACCATGGTTGTGTGGAGAGTCAATAAGTTTTAGAGAACTTAACTTCTATTTCCTTGCTTCTTACACAATGTCTGAATTTTAAAAAATAATGGGTGAGGGATGTTAAGAGTATAAATTTATAAACTTGAATAAGACACCTTTTCTGTGTTGAGTCACATAAATTAATCTTCATGAAGGGAACCCTTGGTGCCAGAATCATAATTAGTCTGAGCAATAAACTGTTTCTCTAGTGATGAAAGGAATGAGAGTAAAACAGCGCAGTAAGCTGGCATCTGAATACTATCTGCAAAACTGTCTTAAAACTGCCTAATCAAAACGCAAGTCTAAAAACCTTCCCAAACTCTTCCACAATTAAAAAATCTTTGTAAATATATTTCATGCAGATATTAGAACAGTGCATCACAATGAAAATAGCCAACATGTTAAAATTAAAAAGCTAACATGACAGAGATAGTGCATGCTATATAATTGAATATGCTATAAATATAAATCATATAACATAAACCCAGTTGAGTCACTAAAGTGAGCTATTATCAAAATTAGAGACAGCATGATATGATAGGAAAGAACAGGCCTATTTTAAAAATGCAGCAAAAGCACAATTTGGAGAATGAACATAATATAATGCTCAAACTTTCAAGTATTTACATTCCAAGCAAATAAAAATTGGAAGCACTCCTCAAAAACCAGAGACTTATCATTTCATTTTTCTGTCCTTTCTGGTTTTTGTTTTGTTTTGTATCTGATGTTATCAAGTCTCTCCTCATTTTATTTTCTGAAATATGATCTAAGATTTCAATTTCAAACAAAGCCACCCTGGATAAATTTTCAAGAAATCATTCTCAGTTCCTAGAGGGCTGATTTCTATATATTTGCTTGTCTATTTAGTATTTGGGCATAGAAATAATTTCATCTCCTGGAGGAAATGCTCTCGGAGCTGCAAGGGTTAAGAAATCATCATTCATTTTACAGATGTAGAAACCAAGGCCCAGAAATAAGATGCAACCCACCAAGGTCACAGGTCCATTAACAACAACAACAACAAAACCCTGAGACTAGTAACCAAGATCCCTGCCTTGTAATCTCTGGCTCTTTCTACTTTCTATAGCTGCCTATCAATCAACCTCAACCTCTAATGATGTGATATTTAAGGAACGTCAGAATAGAGCAAACAAGGAAAAGATGATTGCATTCATTCATATAAAGATTGCATCGGAAGAATGGATGGAGGAATACGTGGGTGGATGTCTACTTGCAATATTATTCACAAAACATATCACATATTTCTGTGCTGAAGAATCCAAACCTAGCTCCTGTCACATGTCACAGCAGTCGCTGTTTTCTACACCAATCTCAGCAGCAAAGAAGCCTCTAGTACATCCTGCAGTTGAGAGATTATTCACCTGCCAGCATACAAGCACACTCCAACACCTCTGGTTCTCAATCTCCTGCCATGTCCTAGACACTCTTGGCGTTGGTGCTGAAAATCGGCATCACGATCGCCCCCCCATCTCCCCCCCCCCAGCAGTTTCTCTACACCTATTCTCTCTCTGACACACACACACACACACACACACACACACACACACACACACACACCCAGGTGTCCTTTCCTAACTGCTCGCCTCAACCAGCCCTCCCCCACTCCACAGGCCCTAGGATCACCTCGATCACCTTTTATCTCAGTCGCCGCATCTCAGCCTTTCCAAACCCCACGGCCCCCCTGTCGCTTACACAGTGATGTGGCCGGCGCCCCGCACCAACACAGGGTCAGGGGCATATCTCCGCAGATGCTCTTCACTCACTACCCGAGGCGGGGGCGGCACCTCCTCCTCCTCTTCTTCTTCTTCCTCTTCCTCCTCCTCCTCTTCCTCCTCCTCTTCCTCCTCTTCATCTTCCTCGTCATCCTCAGGCCCAGAGACCAACGACGACGACGGCGACGACGACGACGACGTTGCGGCTTCTTCTTCCTCCTCCTCCAGTTCCGAGATGGTGTCGAACTCCGCCATGTTGGGCAGCAGGATGCTCATCACGTGACCCCGCGATCGCCACCACTCTCGGGGAGAAGAGTTTGAACCTGCGGAGCTGCTGGAAGAGGAGGGGGAACAGAATGAGAAAGAGGAGGGGGGGCAGGGAATGGACTGTGCAGACGCGCCTGCGTGTTGGGCGGACGGGAGGGGGCGGGAGGGAGTTGGAGGCGGGGGCACGAGGGACCGAGGAGTAAATTCGGTGTACGCTTGCGCGGCTCCGAGAGGAGGGGGCCGTTAGAGGTGAACTCCAGGGAATTCTCGAGGTCCGGTCTGCGGGTGCTGATCTTAACGCTGCGTGCTGGGCGAGAGCTACTTTATAAATCCACGGACGTAGCTTCTGATTTGATTTCCTGTTAATTAAGGCTATCCCTTGTTGCAGGCGGTCGAGGGCAAGCATATTCTATAAAAGTGAGTTCAGAACTTTGCCTAAAATATCTCAAGATACACAGATACCAATTCCTTAGATTTGTTCAGAATTACAGTTGAAGGACTTTTGCTATAATCCTGGGAGACAGGATAACATTTTTTGACAATGTACAATATGTTTATATAAATATATAAATACACAGAAAAATGCATATATGTACCCACTTCAGAGTACTAGAACGAAGCCAATGAAGACTACAATGTACATATAATTATATTATAAAAGATGGATGTGCATTTTGGGACTTTGTCATCTTTTTTTCACCCTAATTGCACATTAGCAGTGAAATACTCGTGACCATAAATGTTTAACTACTTTGAGATTTTTCCAGACCAATCCTTTCAACCCTCTTGGGCTCTGACACATGACAGGCTAAACTTTTCTTGGGGGGGGGGGTTGTGGAGGATTGGTTGTGAGGCCTGAACTCTGGGCCTGGGCGCTGTCCCTCAGCTCTTCAGCTCAAGGCTAGCCTAGCTCTCTACCACTTGAGCCACAGCGTCACTTCCGGCTTTTTTATTTTTGCTTATGTGGTGCTGAGGAATCGAACCCAGGACCTCATGCATGCAACGCAAGCGCTCTACCACTTGAGCCATAACACCACTTCCGGTTTTCGAGTGGTTTATTGGAGATAAGAGTCTCGAGGACTTTCCTGCCCAGGCTGGCTTTGAACCATGATCCTCAGATCTCAGCCTCCTGAATAGCTAGGATTACAGGCGTGAGCCATTGGTGCCCGGTGGTAAACATTTTTATTAAACATTTCACTAAAGAGGAACCTTTCTGTTTCTGCTTCTGTTACATAGCAGTTTAAGGTGAATGAACTGCCTTAGATTACCAAAGGCATTGCATGCATATCTCACTTAATCCTCCACAACCTTATCACGTTTATGCCTAGATGATCTCATTAGATGTGGGAAATCTAATTACAGAAATATGGATGTGCCTGGGCTGGGAAGTTGGCTCAGTGGTAGAGTGCTTGCCTTGCATGCCTGAGGCCCTGGGTTCGATTCCTCAGCACCACATAAGCAAAAAGAAAAAAGCCAGAAGTGGCACTGTGGCTCAAGTGGTAGAGCGCTAGTCTTGAGCTGAAGAGCTGAGGGACAGTGCCCAGGCCCAGAGTTCCGGCCCTACGACCGGACCCAAAAACCAAAAAAAAACAAAAACAAACAAAAAAAAAGAAATATGGATGTGCCTAAGGCCATGAAGCTATTGAAAGTAGACGTCGTTTCAAATTTGGAAGCATCTTCTGATTCCAAAAGCTTAACTAAACGATCATACTGACTGAAGTTGTTTGAAAAGGCTTTGTACTGTGATGCCTTTGGGGCTGTTTTTTAAAAATATGAGTAAGAATCTGCAAGTTTCAATTCTGTTTTATTGGGATTTGTGAAAATTGGGGGTATAGGGAACATTTCAACTTAACGTAATGTGAGTTAATATTACTCCCCCCACTTTTTCAGATATGGAGCTATACTCTTTCCCATACAATATCTCAGTTAATTCAAATGATCATTGTAACCCTTTTGCAGATGACAAAACTGAATCTCAGGAAGTTTTAAGTAATGTATTTAGGTCTATTGCGACATATTGTCCAAATGGTTCCATTTCAAATGTTCTATTTTACGTTCTCCACACCACTAGAATACAGAGGTCACATATTTTCAGTTTCCAAATAAAGTGCCAAACTGGCTAATACTTGGCAGCAACAGATAACCTGCTATTAGCACAGTAAAATCACATAGCTGCTGGGTAATAGAAAAAGTACTGTAATTCAGGCAATCAAACATCTGGTTTCTCCCTCTTTCTCCTACACTACAGCTGAATTCCAATTAGGCAATGAGACTGGGAAAACAGACACACTTGCAATTAGGATGACTCCTGTTAGCTGTGTAACAATATAAACAAAACATTTATGGTGTAAGAGGGAGGAAGAAATTAGTTTTATAAGAGGATCAAACCATTATTATTATCAAGTTTTTGTTACAGTGGAGGTGTAGTTCTAGTGGTAGAGTAGCAACCTTGAGTGATAAAGCTAATGGACAGTGCCCAAGCCCTAGTCCAAGCCCCAGTACTGGCACCAAGGAATCTGTGTTACTAATGAAAGAAAAAAACACTCCATTGTATTCAATAACTTAATTATTTACGAGCTTTTATTTTTCCCAGTTGTGGGCTTGAACTCTGGGCCTGGGCCCTGTCCCTGAGCTCTTCAGCTCAAGGCAAGAGTCTGCCACTTGAGCCACAACACCACTTCCAGTTTTCTTGTGCTTAATTGGAGATGAGTCTCATAGACTTTCCTGCCAGGGCTGGCTTTGAACTGCAATTCTCAGATCTCAGCCCCCTTAGTAGCTAGGATTACAGGCGCGAGCAACCTGTGCCCGGCTTAGGAGCTTTTTTATTTTTATTTTGTTGGTCATGGGTCTTGAACTCTGGACCTGGGCGCTGTCCCTCAGCTCTTCAGCTCAAGGCTAGCACTGTACCACTTGAGCTACAGTGCACTTCCAGCTTTTTCTGTTTATGTGGTGCTGAGGAATCAAACCCAGGGCCTCATGCATGTGAGGCAAGCACTCTAGCACTGAGCCACCTTCCCAACTCCATAGGAGCTTAAAAAATAAGTTGTAATACTAACAATAAGCAACAAAATCTAGCCTTTTGCAATACAGAGAACTTTACTAGCTAGAAATTCTAATAAAAGACAGAGTCTTAAAAAAAAACTTTTATTTAATTTTCATTACTTATGTGGTTTTTATTGATCCAACCTCATTATCCTGTCTTTGTGTGAAGGTATGCTGTTTGTAATTATTGGAAGAGGTGCAGCAAACTCCCTGGTTATACATGTCTCCCTGCCTGCTCTCTCATCTTCTGTGATCAGCATGGTAGTGGTGAATTTAGTAGTTCACCAACTATCTGCCCTGCCTAGAACAGTTCCTTTCTGGATAGCTAGATATTGTCTGTACAGAATAAAGTCTGTCAGAGGAATATAAAACTATGACATTGGCAGGGCTTCTAGGAGAGATTGCGTGGGACATCAGCTCCTGAACATTGGCCTTCTAGATGCATAAGGTTACTGCTTAGTTTAGTCTTATCAGTATAATTTGAGAAGTTACTAAGATTTTTCCTTTACAATTTTAGTCATTTGTTTCCAGAGTACTAAGAAGAATATTTATTGTGAAAATCTAAAAGGAAGATAACTTTTTACTCAGAGATGCCCATTGTTGATATGTTTGGTTTAGCATTTATATATATATATACTATATTATATATATACACATACACATTTTTTCTGTACAAAAATAAGACAATAGCACACATACTAGTTATATGATCTGTGAAAATTGGCAGGACTGGAGATGATTGGTGCACCTAGCAAAGTCCTTGACTAATATGCTTGAGACCCTGAGTTAAAGATCCAATACTGCACTCAAAAAATAACATAAGCAAATAAAGTTGACACTGTGTTATATCTGTTAGGAATATTTTGCCAAATATTTTTCAGATAACAATTCTATGATCAGAAATTCTTTTTTTCCTTTTCCCTCCACTTTTACTGGTACAGAGTACCAACGCAGGACCTTGGGCCTGCTTAGATTACTTGCTTGACTGGAGCTGTAACATTTCAACAACTCCAGTTCAGCTTCTTGCTTGTTAACTGGAAATGGAGTCTTGAAGATTTTTCTGCTGGCTTCAAATCTCAGTCTTCCAGGTAACAGCCTCTTGAGTAGCTAGGATTTTAGTCACTGGTGCCTGGCTATAATCAGAAATTCTGATGACTGCTCAGATTCACATTATTATTCACATTAAATTCCTTAAAGTGGATAGATACATTTTGAAGGTTTAAAAATTATAGTATTAAATTTTTTTCTCTGGTAATGTATGTCTCTTTCTTGAGAAATAATATGATAGTGCATCTTAAGATTTTTTTTTTATTCAGGTAAGGGGTAGGTTTATTCATTGTTCCGGCTGGCACCAGGCCATCTTGGTCCTCCACGTGGTGGGGAAAGGCCTGGGAAAAAGAGCTGGGAGAGCTGGAAAGAGAGCTGGGAAAGAGGGAGAAAAGAGCTAGAAAAGAGAGCATAAAGGTGGGAAAGAGAGAGCTAGGAAAGAGAAGGGATCTGGGAAAGAGAAGAGAAGGAAAGAGCTGAGAAAGAGCTAGAAAAGAGCAGAGAGAGAGCTCTTAAGATTTTTTTTTGCAAGGGGAAAGAGGGCATTACTGAGATTTAAGCCCCAGGGCCTCACACTTGCTAGGCAGGTATTCTATCACTTGAGCCATGCTCCTCATCCTCAAAATATTTCATAAATATCTTCTGGCAAAACATAGATTTTTGTTTTCTTGGGTATTCATAAATGTGTCATATCAACTATGAGAGTAAAATATTTTAGATTTAAGATCAAATCCAATATTCTGTACCAATTTCTTTCAAGAAGTAAAAGCCATAGATGAGATTAAATATTTTCCAAACGTTATCTATAAAGGCCTACTAAGTCCATGTGTACAGGGAGAAGTATTTGCTGATTACTACTTCAGTGGTAATCTCTCCTCTACTCTCTCCTTCCCTCTTCCTCCCCTCCCCTCTGTTGTATTTTCCCTTCTCCTCCCTCCTTTTATTCCTTTCCTAATAAACTTCCATTAAGCTTTATATCTTGCCTGAATTCTTATCTCATTGGAGGCAAGGAGTGAAGTAGATAGCTGTGTTAATGTTTTGGTGACAGTGTCACAGAAAGTCAATTAGGATGCAGATACTTTTTATCAATGCAAGACAATAACAAAGCTTTCCACACCAAGTTGTCAATAGAGACCACATAGGAAGCCTGACTTTCTACCTCACTTCTCAATATGAAGGTACTGCTTCTATTCCCACTGGAGTGGTGTCAGTAGTTTTAGTAGTCAGGACTTTCATGATTTTTCAGTGCTTATGAGGTCAACACTGGTAGCCATGTCAATGGAAGCCAAATACTCATGAGGCATTACTAGTCTGTTCAGCTAGCAAGTTATCTGTAAAGGCCTAGCGGGGAGCCATAACTTTGAATATTACCTAATAATGAGGAGGAGCCCCTAGTCCTTCATATCAACATGACTAGGAAAGTTGGATTTCTACCAACAGCTGATAATAATGGGGCGAGATACTCTTGTACTAACAGAGCAACTTCAGAAGCAGTCAAATAAAAGTGAGGTTTAGATAAGACCCACAGTTTTATCACATTAACATGAAAATATCCAGTTTTCAATAAAAGATTATTCATTATACCAAGTATCAGGAAGATAAACCTGAAAGATAAAATAAAGATAATAAATGCCAATAACAAGTTAAGGAAGAAGTCTTTAAATCAACCACAATGAAAATATTTCAACAAACAATTATAAATTCACTGGAAATAATTGAAAAGAATGTTATCCTTTAGGCGCTGTGGCTCAAGTAGTAGAACACTGGCCTTGAGCTGAAGAGCTCAGGGACAGTGCCCCGGCCCAGAGTTCAAGAATGTTATCCTTTAATAGCAAACCAAGTTAATGTCAACAAAAATGGAGAGGTAGGGAGGGAATTTTAAACACTCACCCTTTTATAAAAGTAGTGAATAAAGTGGAAAAATGTTAGTGATGGTTTATTGACTATGGGAAAATAATAAGTTTACAACAACATGAGAAGGTTTAAGCGAGTGGGGAAAAGCACCTGAAACCAGGCACCTAGCTGCCCAGAAGACTGAAGTTCTAAGTTGGCCCAGGTAGAAAAGGCTGAGAGATTCTATCTCAAACTTACCAGCAAAAAGTTCACTGGAGGTTTAGTGGTACAGCAGTAGTCTAGTAAGCTGAACTAAAATGTAAGGTTCTAAAGTCAAGCCCCAGTCCGTGAAGGGAGAGGAATTACGCAATCCTGAGTAAAACTCAAAAAATATTCATTAAACAGTTGATCTGAGATCTCATCCAAGATATTACCATTAACTTATTGTAAGGCCAGTAACTTTTTTGAAAAGAAAGGGAATTTTAATTTATAAGTTGTTTTAGCCTCTAGGTTTTTAAAAATTTTTATTATCTTTAGTTGTGCAAAAGCATTCCAGTCCATCTCTAGCTCTTTAAACTACAAAATAAGGATATCAATTTCTGTGTATCTCACATCAAGATTTTGAATCAAATAGCATAACAGAAATGAAAACATATTGAAACATATAAGATATCACACACACACACACACACACACACACACACACACACACACACACACACACACACACGGCATTAAGATTATTAATAAAATCCCCAGATTCACTAACTCAGAGAGCAAGACAGCTAGAAAACAAAGGCTGGTTTCCTAGGTGGTAATTGCCCACTGATTGGTGTTTGAAGAGGGGTGTGCAATTTCAATGGTATCCTCAGATACTAAATGAATAGAAAGGAATGCTTTGACTTTGGACCTATTGCTAGAGACTGAGGAAGACCACCATATCTAGCTGAGGATTCCCAGTAGTATCCACAATTACTTGCCACGTATCTTTATAAAGTGACCTGTTTGCTCACACCTCATTGTCCTCATCAGTAAAATGGAGCAATTGATACCTTCTTAAATGTGTTGTGAAAAAATATCCTACCAACAGTACTGGTCAAAAATGGAAAGTTTTCTCTTAAATCTTTTCAGCACTAGTGAAGTACCCTGTAGAATAGCCATGGAAATTGAACAATTTTTCTTGAGATTTTTCATAAGGAGTGGGATGATAAATTTCTTATTTTCAATCCCAAGACAAGTAGTTATGCTCAAAAATTCTATTTTTAAAAACAACTATGAAGGTGTGTCTTCAAAAAGAGAGGGAAGTTGGGATATGATTGCTTTTTATACTTTTATCAATCTTTCCTTTAAACCACCTCAATTTAGGACTGCAGGTGTGATTCAGTGATAGAGCACTCACCTGCTTAACAAGTATAAGGCCTTAAGTTAAAACTCCAACCCTACCAACCAATCAAATGAAATCAAACCAACACCACTTCAATTTAGAAATGATTCAGAGCAACTTTGATATGGAAACAGTACACTGGACCAACATCAAAAACTATCCTCCTTTACTGCTGTTCTTTCTCTTACCCAAGTTGTGTGTTTGTTATCTGTAAACAGCAGCTCTTTGATGATATGATGTGGATAAAATTGAACTGGTTGAAAGGTGATGACAGGCAGGAGCTTACAGACTAGCTTGCTGTCTTTGTGCTTATGTAAACCTGACTAGCATTTAATCACAATACTAATAGCTGTGGAAAACAGAAGGGCAGGAAGGTTTACACTATGTGATGAGTATCTGCCTGACTAATCAATCAACCAAGCTGGCTTATATTGTTACAGGATGATTTCATTGTTTTAACAAGATTTGAAATTGACACTGCAGGTTAGAAGTCCTGAGATAAGATAATTGATGCCAGACGAAATATAATTGAGGGACAAAATGATCTTTTTTATTTGCTATTTTTATTAGATAGTGACAATGGATTCAGAATCACCTCTTGATGGTTTTTAAAAAAGTTATCTTGTTAGGCAAACGGTTAACTTTGGAATTATACATTTGGAAAGCTATTATAGAGGTAACTTTCTTCTTACCTTATTCCTACCCACTAAAAATAGTTTGAAAAGAACACAGTAGCAAATAATAAACACAAGGGTACACACAAGTGCACTTCCTGGCAGAGCTGTGTTTTATGGTCTGTTCACAAGCAACTTTCTGAACTAGTGAACAGAATTTCTAGAGCTTATGAGTCTAGCTTTTAATTAAGAGAGTTTATAACTAAGCTTCTTGAGGGATTGACACATAACAGAATGTAACAGGAGGTTCCTGGGGATCTTTGCTAAGAGTCATATGAGACATTTTTTCCTCCAACTCATTGTGAGTTTACTTGTTGAGAATAACTTTTTTACAAGGAATTTCACCCTGTACCAACTCTCTTGCTGGCAAGTCAGAGACCAAAGAGGCTTTGCTAAAGGAAGAGCATTGTCTGTTTCTTTTGACCTTTCTTTCATTCAGACACTATGACCTGTTGTATCTCAATAGGTTGAAATCCACGGACAGCAGATGGAGTGGTGAAAAAAGCATTAGGCAATTCCCCAGGGCTGATGGAGCCAGAGTCACTTTGCACTGAGCCTCCGTTGTTCTCAAACTGGGAGATTTTCTTTTTGATCATCTTTCTCTCCTTGGCTCGCCGGTTCTGAAACCAGATTTTCACCTGCAACACAAAATGCTTTATATTCAATGGCATAACATTTTGTAAAGAGTAAATACAGGGGTTGCTGATATTGCACTGGAATTTTAGCATTTATAAAGCTTCATCTGAGTTTCACAATGATCTTGTGGAGTATGTCCATTTAATATGTTTTTTTTTTAAGCTGTAGTCCAGAGAGAGGCAAATACCTTTCAAGAAATAAGACTGAGATCAAGTCTAGGACTACTTACTCTAAATGAATTGTTCTTTATGTTACAACTCATCAACTTATTTACATAAGTTAAAATGACTGATGATAGAGTGACAGACACTGAGGAATGTTGGGAAGAGGGAGAGATTCAAACAGGTGATTACAATTGATCACTAAGAGAAACATCTTAATAGTAAAAGGTTAATGCAACATAGAACGAGGTGAACATGGGCCAAGATACACCATGTATGAAGACTAGAGTGTTATTACTGTGCTTATATAAGCAGCAATGCAAGATTGTTGGGATAGGGCAATGTGTTAATGAACTTTACCATTTTAGAATTCTATGGCTCCAGGATTATTCCTAGACTGAAGTGAAAAAAATTACTAGCTTGTTATGTAATTTTCAACTTTGAACACACTGAAAATTTTTTATCCTTGCCCTAATTTAATGTTTATAATAAAATGAACTGAAGGTAAGAATCATAGCATTATAATTAATTTTCTTTAGAAGATCAATTGTCGGGCTGGGAAGTTGGCTCAGTGGTAGAGCGCTTGCCTTGCATGCATGAGGCCCTGGGTTTGATTCCTCAGCACCACATAAGCAGAAAAAAAAGCCAGAAGTGGCGCTGTGGCTCAAGTGGTAGAGCGCTAGCCTTGAGCTGAAGAGCTGAGGGACAGCACCCAGGCCCAGAGTTCAGGCCCCACGACTGGACCCCCCCCCCTCCAAAAAAAAAAGATCAATTGTCCTACTCTCAGTAATGGAAAATCTTGGTACAGGTTGCCAATTAAAAACAGATACTCTTGTAGTTTGATGGCAGGAACCAGATAATTGCAATTGTTGCTGAGCTGCACTTCATACACTGATTTTGATTACTTGAGGAACCAGATTAAGGGTCTCTGCTCCTCTCATGTCCCACCTTCTTTTTTTTTTTTGTCGGTCATGGGGCTTGAACTCTGGACCTGGGCGCTGTCCCTCAGCTCTTCAGCTCTTCAGCTCAAGGCGAGCACTCTACCACTTGAGCTACAGCGCCACTTCCAGTTTTCTAGTGGTTTATTGGAGATAGGAGTCTCAAGGTCTTCCCTGCCCGGGCTGGCTTTGAACCGCAGTCCTGAGTAGCTAGGATTACAGGCGTAAGCCACCGTCGCCTGGCTCATGTCCCATCTTTTGCTTCTGTGTTTACATGATGTCCACCAAATTCAATAGTTTATACACCCACTGACGAAAGAAAGTAAGCTAGGAAAGCCACTAAAATGAATGTGGGCTATAGGATGAGTGATGTCTTGAATCTCTGTTTACAGACTTCCTCCAACCCTTAGTCTATTGAACGACTACACATAATATATTAGATGCATTTTTGGGATACCTGTCTCTCAGAAAGTCCCAGGTTAACTGCCAGCTCTGATTTTCTCCGGATAGTGATGTATCTATTGCAGTGGAATTCCTTTTCCAGCTCCAGCCTTTGATGATCTGTGTAAACCACACGGTATTTTTCTTTTGTTCTGGTTTTCCCTATTGGAGGAGAAAGCATTTCATTTAATCTTACTCTGTTTCTTTGGAGACTTTGTGTTGTTGAAGGAATCATAGCTCCTTATCCTAGCAATAGATACAGTCTCTCTGTCTGTCTATGAAACGCTGGTTTCATCTCTTTAATATTTCTACTAAAATGATCATTCAAACCATAGTCAGTCTACCATTTGTATACCATTGAGTCAAAACATTTAAAATGCTTAAACACTAATCTATGCTTTTAATTCCCTTCTCACAACAATGGCGCTGGTAGTAGTACCAACATCCATTATACATTATATTTTTATGTTATGCTTTCATATTGCTTTCTACTAAATCTCTTGCATACTCTCTTGAATTACCCAGAACATGCTTATTCTCATTGTAGAGCTAAGGAACCTGAAGTTCGGTATGGGCAAGTAAATTTGTGCTAGTGGGCTCTGGAGAGGACCCATCTTGGACTCCTACTTCAGTATGCTGTTATTCCCAGTCTAGACATGATGGGAAGTGTAAGAAAGTCTCAAGAGTGCTAAACTACTCTGAGATCCTGAAATGATAGTTACACACAGTACTTAGACAGAATTTGATTTGAACAGTAATTGTAAAAGAAAAATTTTATTGTCACTTCGCAAGTTCTATTTCAGAAGAGTCCCTATTACCTATTAAAAATACCAGACCTTTTTTTGGTGGGAGTCTTAAGCCAATTTTTATTCCCAAGTGAATGCTGAATGGGGAAAGGTGTGTTGATTTAAGCAGAATAAAGTGAGTATTTCTTGTCCTTTGAAAGGATATCCAAACATTTGCTTTGCGTTACAACATTAACTAATTTCTCATGCCCTCTTTCAAATAGAATTTTATTCCTCCTTTCAAATTTTCTGAAGGTGATTAGGAAGTTTCTTTTCAGTTTCTCTAACCCCCTCCAGGATCTTCTTCCTTTTCTCTACGGCTTTTAGAAACTCCTTCTGATCTTTCCTGGTTGTTTTTGATGTGAGGTTTTGGGGAGCTATCTGTAAGACAAAGACTTCTTTAAAGTGGCTCCCTAAACTCCATTGAGGTGTTAAGGTGCACCACAGGCCTAACAAAGGAGCTACACGGCATCAGATCCCATCCTGAACCCTCTTTACATTCAGGAGCACCAACCAATTGGTTTGGAATTTACAAGCCCTAAACAAATGTCAGACACCCTTTCATCTCCAGGAAAGAACAAAAAAGAGCCACGAAAGTAGAAACAAATTCCACTTGAGAAATCTATCTTATGATTAAACTAAATGCCTGACTAATGACCTAAACAAAAATCTTCTTGAAAATGAAAGCTATGAGTGTCAGTTAGTCAACCTGACTCAAAGGCTCAAACTTTGGTATTATTTGCTGAATACAAACAGAAATGTTGTCTGGTATTGGTTATGGAGCAAAGGAAGAATGTGTGTAGGGGGACAAAAATGAAAACCTGAGGTTTAGCTTAGTCCATAACCTCCAATCTTGGAATAAAAATGTATCTTTCAGGAAGCATGTTCTAAAATCCCTCCTAATACCAAAGGGGCTGGATGTTTAAATTTTAATTCAAGGCAAGAGAAGTTAAAATTCAACTTGTCTGTGTCTTCTGCTCTTTTATAATCAGTAAATATAACCAGACTTCAAGATCTCTGGAAAGGTTGTGGTTCTTCCCTACCCCCACTGGTCATAAATTCCCCTCTTGCAATTTCTTCTGAGGACAATAAAGTCAAGACCAGGCCTCTTTATTTGCCATGAAAATCCTCACCCTTTCCGGCAATATAACCCCTAAAGAAAGGAGGGACAAGGAAAAGCCTGGATGCATATCAAAGCCAAGCTAAGTGTTAAACAGGCTCTGTAGCCCCAATCTGACAGATAAGACCTAAAACCAGGGAAGACATAGCTCAGGGGAATATAGTAGCTGCACAGTTTACAAAGAGAAAGGATTTTCAATTTCCTGGTTCTCCTCTTGTGCCACTTTCCTAACTGCTTCTCCTCTACTTCACTGCATCGCGTCCTTAAATGACCAAAAGGGATTTGGAGCATTTTCTGGTAGAGCATGTTGTCCATATTGCCATAAGCAACATTAATAAAGTATTAGGAGTTGAGATGCTTGTGCTTATTGTTCAAGCCATTCTCTTCTAGAGATAGTGATATTTTAGAGACTGAGGGATTACCTTCTCAGATGCAACTGTGAGCTAATTTAAGAAAGTTTACAATTTACTAGACAGCTACTTCCATTTCTTTGCAAAGGGGATTTCATTACCTGTTCCTCAGACTTGGGCAAATCTCTGTAGTTCAAGATGGATGGACCCTTTTCTCATCACCTAGAAGACACTGTCCTCATGGGGTTTGTAAGCCATTGTCATCATGTATGATGACTTACTGTCACCCTAAATGAATTTTTAGAAGTACTCATCAGAGACTGTCTGTGAAAGTCCTGGTAGGCAGAAGACCACTCACCAAACCCAGGGACTACAATGATGCTGTCAGTAGAGAAAAACGTGATAAAAACCAATTTTCTTCTATAGAGACAACTGTGTAATTAACTTCACTGTGATGATTTTTCATATAATGGCAGTTCATCCAATTCATTTAAAAAGTGGCAAAATGTAATAAGCAAAACCAAGGAAGACAATGATAAGCCTCAATAATGATTAAGCTATTCTATTATGAAGTGCCATAATCAAGTAAAGCACGACTTCCTCAGTGTTGTCGAGTAGCTTCATGAGAACCAATCAAAATTACTCTTTCCTCTTCCCTTTTCTTCCCCCTACCAAGAAAGCCTTTCTCCAGCCCTGCTTAAGATACCATATTGCCAATAGTCATCCAGGTCCATAACTGGACCTGCTCTAACATGCTAAGTATTCAAAATAGGAAAATGTATAAAATGTTTAACTTTCCATAGAAACTTTTCTGTAACAGTCTTCTTAACATAATCTTTAAAATGAGATGTTTGCTGGAATAGATGACTTAGAGAACTAAGTAGAAACAAAATGTCTTACTTTTAAATCAGATCACCTGTAACACAATTATTGATTCTATACATCGGTCCTTTTGCTATCATTAAACAATCAAATGCTATAATGATCACTGTGGAATATTTTGAAGTATACATATTAGGGGACAATGAGAAGATATTCCATAGTGATACTTTTCAAAAGTATTCGTATTAGGAGATAAATTAAATAGACCCTAGGTCTATTTAAAAACATTCTTCAGGAATAGAAAGAACTTGCCATAATTGCCTTAGTTCAGGAAAGAGTTACTTCCACTTTGTAGTTCATCTATTTTTGTCTCAGCCACAAACCAAATGTTATCCTATAACACTACAGGGTGAAGTGAAAAATGTAGGAGGATCTGACTCACTCATTCATTTAACCAATATTTGTATAACACCCTCTCTATGTGCTAAGCATATAAATGAGTGCATTTTGATCCAGAGTGATCCAGTTAGGTGATTAACTTCATTTTTTTTTCATGAGATCTGATGTCCATAAAAGAGTCATAGTGGAAATTATGTGAAATAGTTTGTGTGTGTGTGTGTGTGTGTGTGTGTGTGTGTGTGTGTGTGTGTGCATGTAGACAATGTGTGTGTTTTTGTGTGCTTTTGTGTATTTTCCTGGGAGGATAGCCATGTTCTCCTTATATTTTAAGTTGTTACTGAACATGCACCTTGGGCTATAAGGAGTATATTGCAAATGAAACAAAGGTTGGATTTAATAATGCTTCATCTGTAGGATAGGCTGCCTAAGAGTCAAAGATATTCCAAAAGCATTCACTTTTAAACTTTTCATGGAGAGTGAAGAGAAAAATCCCATGAAGGCCACATGGAAAAGTCAGATGCCACACACTTAGAAGGCACCAAAGTTTCCCAAGAGAGGCTCCAGCTCAGGAAAACATATGTAAGTGGAAGATGTTAAAGCAAATAAACTTGTCATATTTTCCCTCATAAACTGAAAAAGAACAACATAATATTTTATCTTGTCCTTTTCCCCCCATTGTTCTCTATTCCAAACAACCTGCCAGTGACTTTAACAACATGCCAATGACGTCTGTCTCCTAAAATGTTTCAGAACATAATCCTGGTCCAGGAGCTACTACTTTTCTGGTCATTTTTTGTGTCTTTTCCTGATTATTACATTTTAGTAAATGGATATAATTACAACCATGAGATTAGATGTAATAACAGCTCTACGAATGGCCCATCTTAACCTCATTTTCTTTCTTACTTAATCATCTGACTTACCCATTTTGTGTGTGTGTGTGAATGAGCACTCACGTGCTGGGCACTATCCTTGAGCTTTTGTTCTCAAAACTAGTGCTCTACCATTTGAGCTCCAGCTTCACTTCTGGCTTTTTGGTGGTAAATTGTAGATAAGAGTCTCATAGGCTTTTCTACTTGGTCTAGCTCTGAGCCACAATCCTTGATCACCGCCTCTTGAGTAGGTAGGGATTACAGGCATGAGCCAGTGGTGCTTTCCGCTCTACTTTTAATTTGTGTTTATCACACTAGTAATGTTATGATCAACTTGCATTTCCTCTTCTGGCTAAAAAGTCCTCTTAATGGTAAAAGTTGGTACCTTCCCATTCACTTTCCCGCCTTGGCTTTGGAGAGGAGAGAGAAAACAAAAGTGTGAATGGGGAGCATAATCACTGTGGGTAAACGCTATTGAAAAGTCATTTTTTTCCTCCAGAGGGATGAAAGTAATAGAATCGAATCTTGCCAATTTCCCGTAATGCTAGGGAGGAAGAATTGGAATAATAAGAACATGAGTAAAAAAAAAAAAAAAAACAACAACCCACCAACAACCATAGCTGAAAATAGACATCTCTCCCTTTCCCCTATCCAAGATTAAAGACTTCCAGCCTTTCACGCCTCCAGCTTCCAGGGATTTGCTTTGCTGGTTGGTGTTAGGCTAGGATCCGCCCGTGTCTTCCTGTAAGGTGCCACTACCTCAGACTTGGATTTAATCGCCGGTTCCCTGATGCCGGTCCTAATACTGACTAGAGCTTCAGCCACTAGTAACTAGGGCTGTTACTCGCGTGGGAGCTGGTTGCTGTGAGGATTGCCTGGAGTAGTCTATGTCAGTTTATATCTTGTGTCTGCCAATTTAGGTAAAGGAAGCTAGAAGTCTAGAGTTTTGTCGTCGGGAAACCTTTGTAGTTAAACTGGAAGGTCCCAAGCACGGCGAACTGAAGTTGCTCATCACCAGCTGTTTGGGGGAGCCGCCTCACCCAGATGGTGAACGAATTGAAAAGAGCAAGCCTTGCGCACTGGGAAAGCACATCTGAACATCACAGCTGTCCTCATACCTTAGCGATGCACCCGTTGAGCTTTTCCGTACATCTGTTTCTTGGCTCCTGATCCTTCTGGCTAATAATGGTGCTCGTTTCCCACTCGCTCAGTCCCCTAGTTCATGAGGGAATGGAGATCCCCCAAGTCCCCCGCTCCCCTTCTCGGTAGATTTAGTCTTGAGCCACACATTTAGCAACCTTTGAGCCCCGGGGCTGCTTGAAAGGTAAGCAAACCAGCACGCCTGACTCTCCTCACCTAAACACTCCCTGGAGACTCCTGAGAAGTAGGAGGGCTGACAGATGGAGAGGGGCGCAGACAAGTAGGGGAGGAAGTGGGTCACGTAGCCCCAACTGCTTACTCACCGGTCACCTGCACGCTTTTGCGCATCCATGCATAAGGACTGTGGCGGCTCCTACTGGGAGAAGTGGCGTCTGCGGTCACTGGGTCGATGGAGATCAGTGACCCACTGGCGGGGGTTGGCAAGCTATTGCTGCTGTTTCCGCCGCCGCCCGAGGGACCCAGGTTGCTGTAATCGGGTGAACCAAAAGCCGCAGGACTCTGTGTCACATCGTTCATGGGCACTGTGCCCATTGCACTGGACGGCCCTGGATACACACTCCAGTCTTCCCGGGGGGGACTGTAGGGTGAGCTCCAGGCCCCCAGCGATGGACCGTGAGGATCCATGCTGGCCACATGAGGATAGCTCATATAATGTGAATAAGTCGGGGTCGCAGCGAAGTTGGGGGCTGGCAGCGGACTCCCACCGCTCCCAGAGTGACCCACCCCCGCGTTGCTGTCTCCTCCAGGGCTCCTGAGAGTGCCCGGGTACATGCCCGCTTCTTTCTCCAAAAGGCAGCTTCCGTACATGCTGGCTTGGTAAGAAGGAAAGAACTCCCTAAGCCATCCTGAGGTTCCCTGTAAAGGTCCCCAACCTGACTTTGAGAAAGCAAGAAGGACAACCACTGCTTAGCTGTGCCGCAAGCTCCTCTGCCCAGTCTCAGACTACTCCATCCCACGTTTGCTACCCCCTGACGGTTTCCAGGTAGCCCGGTGGAGATGGGCCACCCATGGCTTGGGCTGACGTCAAGGGGCTTCAGGCTTTACATAGCATTTGCATTCAAATGAAGGGCCATTTCACTTTCACGGGGACTTGGTTTCACTGTAGGCTTCCTCTCCCAAGCCTTTGGGCCTTTCCAAATCATCTTTCCTGACTGTCCATCTGGTTCCTACAACACCAGTTTGGCGCTTTTGGAATCAGGACTTCCTCCAACACTTTCTGACGAGCTCGCTCCCAAGTGAGGTTAAGACACCGGGTCATGCTCTCTGGGATTTAGCTCTCAACACGGACACCTCTCTTTTACCGAAGTTCTGGAGCCCAGCCTGCATACACTTTCACCTTCCTGCCCTAATTCCCTGGTAGCGATTTTTTTTTCTCCCAACCAGGCAATGGCCTATGAGACCATCGAAAAGGATTTTCCCTTCTCCTTCCCTCTCCCCTTCTCCAGGAAAGTGTTTTGTTACCAAGGGAAGAAATTCTGTTCATAACTACATATTGGAAATTTATTGTATGCCCGGTACTAGTGTAGACACTGGGGACAGAGCACTGAGCAAGCAACCATTCTTTAAATTCTGTTTTCCTAAGGTTATATTCTAGTAGATGGCAGGCTGAATTAATCAGAACTACTATGAAGAGTGTGGGTTATGAAAAAGGGAGGGAGATGGGGGGAGGAGGAGAGAGAGACAGATCATGTGAATTAGTGAACTGTTGTAACTTCATATTAATTTATTAGTTTCAGGTATCTCTGTCAAGTATGGTTTCTGCCCCAAAGTTGATACCCCCAAAGGTCATATTTTTTTCATATGGATAAATATTAATTTATCTGATCAGAGGCACAGGAGGCAATGCACCTATTGTGTTCCTTCCTAAGAGTATCCTCTGAGAGGCCAGGATTTTTGCAGTCTGGAGTCAATGGCTGTTGCTGCAGACTTGGGATTCCCTTTCAAAGCTCTAGTTGTAAAAGATCTGGGATTGCTAGCAGAAAACCCCATCACCTTCTGTGTTCTTCTTATCCATTCCCTCCCACCAAGACCCACCGCAACCTGTAATTCAGGCCACCTCAGGAAATGTGCTCCTCCACAATGTCTCACCCAAGCTGACACTCCCACTTAGCCAATCCCTCCCCCCGTTTGGGGAAAGTCATTTAACTTCTGAGCTTTCCATCTCCCTTCCCCATACCCTGCAGAGGACATAACCTAGGGCTTTGTATGTGCTAGGCCCTACTGAACTACATCCCCAGGGTAGTCTGCTTTTTAAAGGCAGAATTCCTAATGTTACCTATGTTACAAGGCAAATAATAATAATAATAATAATAAATACAAACTGCTTAATTTATTGCTTGGCACCTAGTGTGGGCTACTATATTCACCAACTTAAGAAATATTTATTGAGATGCTGTTCTGTGTATGGAGACATGAGTAGGGACCTTATGAGTTTACATTTTGGTGAGGAAAAACACTTTTAAGTAACTAAATTGTATGGTATGTCAGATCGTAATACATGTTTTGAAAAAGAAGAAAGAGAAATGCTGGCGAGGGACTACAACTTTAAGTGTACTAGTCCAGGAGATCTTTCCTGAGCAATGACACTCAATTATGAGAGTTGGTAGACTGAATCATAAAGGAAGAGGATTCAGTTAGAAGGAACATGTAAAAAGAGAATACCTTGAGAAACAGCAAGGAAAAATAGTGTAGCTAAATAGTAGGCATAGTTGCTTGGTGCCCAATTGCCCATGCCTGTAACCCTAGCTACTCAGGAGGCTGAGGTATGAGGATTACAGTTCAACTCCAGCCCAGACAGGAAAGTCTTTGAGACTCTTATCTCCAATTAACCAGCAAAAAGTCAGAAGTGGGGCTGTGGCTCAAGTGGTAGAATGCTAGTCTTAAGTGAAAAAGCTAAAGGAGAGTGCCCTAGCCCAGAGTTCAAGCCCCAGTACTGGCAGAAATGACAGTAAAGTCCAAATGCTGAGGTAGAGTAGGTCACTGTAAACATTCTAGATTTTGGTCTTCCTTTATATGAGGCAAGGAGGCATTGTAGGGCTTTGAGCAGATGAGGCACATGATGGATTAAGCAGACAAAATACAACCAGTGAGACAATTAAAAGGGCATTGCAATTTGGTGAATGGCAGTGGAGATGGGAGAAGTGGTTGGAATCTTAATATATTTTCAAGCCTATTTCAGAAAACAGAAGAGAAACAGAAAAAGAAACGGAAGAGAAACAAGTAATTGATCAGCAAGACGAATTAAAGCCTTGTGCTGGAGAGAAGGGACTAAGATGCAGGGCAATAACACATCTGTGGATATTTTTTACACCTTAGTCTCATTTAATCTTCACAACAGCCCCACAAATTATTATCATTTCTATCTAGAGATGAAGAGACAGAGGCTCAAAGAGGTGACATGAAGTATTTAAGGATACATAGCTGGTGTGAAGTAATGCTAGGTTCCAGTGTAGGCTGCCCTGACTATAAAGAAGATGTTCTTACACTGGTACCAGGTTGTTATAGTGTCAGGGCATAGATCAAGAATTGGATTCTGTTTTCTTTCTGTGCTCAGGATCTGAAGCCTAGCCTTCAAGGTATTTTTTAACAACATAAACTCAATAACCCCTGGATAATTCTTTCACTTGTTTTATCTGGAGGCAAATACCTAATATTTGAAAAATGATGTCAGGATAGAGGCACAACAGGGGGTCTTTCAAATGTATCTCACCCAGGGACTATCCTTTTTGTACATGAGGAGTCTGGGGGTTTGCCCAAACTGTTTATCTCCATAATTTTCCTGTTGTAGAGAGAAAAAGCTGTTCAAATTCTTCCTGTTTTACTAGATTCAAGTCGAGTATCCCCTCTCCTTAAAGCCTCCTTGTGGTGATGTTTCTCTCAGAATATACTATTATTGAACTTCCACTACCTATTGATCTCCTTAAATGACTAAAACTATTTAGTCTGTCTTAGAGATATTTGAGATCTTATCTAAATCTTTTGGAGTCTGAATATGTGAAGCCAGCAGAATGGAGTGTCCCTGCACATGTAGAGTCTTGGGAAATACTTATGAACAGACTCGATGAAAGACCTCAGAACTATGGATTGGAACTACCATTTGACCCAGCTATAGGCTTGTCAGGGGAAATAAAGCCAGTAAAGAACATTGTAGCTGGGCACCACGGGCTCATGCCTGTAACCCTAGCTACTCAGGAGAGTGAGATTTGAGGATCCCAAGTCAAAGTCAGCCTGGGTAGGGACGTCTGTGAGACTCATATTTTCAGTTAACCAGCAAAAAGCTGGAAGTAGAGTTATGGCTCAAGCAGCAGAGTGCTAGTCTTCAGCGGAAAAAATTAAGGCACAGTGCCTAGTCCCTAAATTCAAGCCCTAGTACCAGCATACACACACACACACACACACACACACACACACACACACACACACACACACACAGCAATTCTGAAGCCAGGTTGTGCTAAGCACAGCACAATATGTGTGTGTGTGTGTGTGTGTGTGTGTGTGTGTGTGTGTGTGTGTTGGCATGCAGGTAGTCTAGTTTATCTGACTATGACTTTTGGTTTCTTTCTTACTCTTAAGATCAATGAGAGACTACAGACCAATCTCTTTGATGAACACAGATGCAAAGCTCAATAAAATTCTAGCCAACAGAATCCAGAAACATACAAAAAAATCATACATTATGACCAAGTAGGTTTCATCCCAGAGATGTGGGGATGGTTTAACATACGTAAATCAATAAATGTAATTCATCACATCAACAGATCCAAGGTCAAGAACCACATGATTATCTCCATTGACGCAGAAAAGGCTTTTGATAAAATACAACATTCATTCATGCTAAAATCTCTGGAAAAAATTGAAATAGAAGGAACATTCCTTAAAACAATAAAAGCCTTATATGACAGACCAACCGCCAATATTACACTTAATGGGGAAAAACTACAACCAATTCCCCTAAAAACAGGAACAAGGCAAGGATTCCCACTCTCCCCACTCCTATTCAATATAGTTCTGGAATCCTTAGCCAGAGCAATAAGGCAGGAAAAAAACATTAAAGGGATCCGCATAGGGGAGGAAGAAGTTAAACTATTTCTTTTTGCAGATAACATAATTTTATACCTTAACGATCCCAAAGTCTCCATCTCCAAACTCTTAGAGATTATAAACCACTTGGCAAAGTAGCAGGATACAAAATTAGCCCACAAAAACCAGTCGCCTTTCTGTACACCAACAATGTACAAGCAGAAAGGGAAATCAAGGAAATAACCCCATTCATAATAACCTCAAAAAATAAAGTATCTAGGAATTAACCTTACCGAAGATGTAAATGATCTATTTCATGAAAACTATAAAAGCCTAAAAAAAGTAATCATAGAGAATACCAGGAAATGGAAAGATCTCTCATGTTCCTGGATAGGCAGAATTAGCATCGTGAAAATGACTATACTGCCAAAATTGATATACACATTCAATGCAATTCCCATTAAAATCCCAATGATATACTTTACTGAAATAGAGAAAACAGTCCAAAAGTTCATATGGAACAACAAAAGACCTAGAATAGGTAAAGCAATGCTAGGCAAAAGAAACAACACAGGAGGGATCACGATACCGAATTTCAAGCTTTCTATAGTCATAATAACAAAGACAACTTGGTACTGGTACAAAAAGAGATCCGAAGACCAACGGAACAGACTAGAGGACCCAGAAATAAAGCCACATACATACAATCAGTTGATATTTGACAAAGAAGCCGAAGACATACAGTGGAAGAATCATAACCTCTTCAACTATTGGTGCTGGGAAAA